AACTGGTGAAAGTTACATCTTTATAAAGTGACATAATGAATGTGACTGATGACAGCAGTAAACAAGCTTGACTGGTAACTTTGAAACTCACCGTTATTAGTATGTGGGAGGCCAATTCTGAACCGTGACAAACTTTGCACCTCATTACAGCTGAAACAAAGTCTGGCACACCTACACCATGGTCATAATGAACCATCATTCTAATGAAACCTAATAATGAAACTTGAACGCAGCAAAAACCACAAGGGATAGTCCAAAAAAAAAAAAAAGAAAGAAAAAAGAGCAGATAAATAAAAACTTGGGCACCGACAACCTTCCTCCTGTCCTTGAGTTTTGAATAATAACACGAGCTTATTATTATAGCCTGGACCTCGTTTCATACAGAACAATTTTCTCCACCGAAAGAGCTCAAGATAGTCTGGAGGTCAGACGGAATAATGTCTCTTGATATTAAGAGCGTGGCAAATACACTTATTTTTTTTTTGACTCCACACTAAAAGCAGACATGGGAGATATTTACTTGTGCACTTGATAATGCAGCAGAGAAACTCCTTGAAGCTGAGTGTTTGTGTTATTATATCCAGTAGGTGCAATTCAATTTGAGAGCTTTACGATATATACTTTTTTCCAGTTTTAGAATTAATTTCATTTTAATGTGACATACGGCGCTTTTACTCGTAACTTTCCCAGATCAAACAGTTCAACTACATTACACAAAACGCTTGGCTCGTTCTTTTTTCCGGAGAGACAATGGAGGAGTATTATCTTCAGTTTTTCATAAATTAGCGAGGATTTGTGGGCTGCATCTGTAGCTGCAAAATTATATCAATTCTATCTGTTATGCATCAACGGCGACCGGATTTCGAATTTGTCTTTCAAGCCCACATTTACTTCCAACACACATTCGCGCGCTAAGATGCAATTTGTTCATTACAAACACTCTGCAGCTCAAACGTGGTTCTCTCAAACCACAGAGCAGACCGACTGCGTCTTCCTCTGAATCTTCCTCTCTAATTTATTATTCCATCAGGCGCTCCTAACAGGCTTTCTGTCTGAGAAGAAACTGCCTCACTACTTCACTGCAGCATATCAAAAAACCCAGAGATTTATACATTAGTTCCAGACAACAGATACAACCGAAAACAGAAGTAAAAAAAAAAAAAAAAAAAAGACGGCGTTTGGAGTGTTTCTGCTGATGCTTCTGTTAAATTTAGTTGTCATCGGGTCTTTTCTCATCACCTTCTTCAATCAAACTGAGGCTGAGCTGGCAGAAATAACCGATTTCTGCAAAATGCACTACAGCAAGAATGAAGCGTAGATTTGTTTTGTGTTGAAGAAAAAGAAAAAAAAAAAAAGCTTTAGATTTTCCCTTCACGTACCTCATACAGAGCGAGGGAGTGGCCGTATCGTGGGGTGACGGTGTTGACGGAGGGGTCGAGGGTCAGCCAGGTTTTGCTGCTGAGGTTATACCTGCAGAAATGAAGACAATAAACAGGTGTAGTCAGCTTGACAGAAAAGCTTACGCAAGTTCGTTGCTGCTGAGTTCAAGTAACCAAAACAAACAGCACAGCAAAGATTCTGTTATCGCCCGACTGGTGAGCAGATGATTCATTTAGCTGAGGTTTGTGGTGACAGTGAGCACAATCCCTGGAGCAATATTTTTTCTATATAACAAACTTGTAAAATTCAGCAGTAATTGTTGTACGTGTAGAGGTCTGGGCAACCTGCTGAGTCACTACAGACTAGGGCTGGTCCGAATAGCAATTTCTGGGCTCCGGATATTTAGGCCCAATTAATGACAAATATCCGAATATTCAGTGCAGTGTGATGGGGTGGAACGAATATTCAGATCTCAAAATTGATATCCGGACACCACCACAGCGACCAAATATTTGGATATTCGGGCCAGCCCTACTATGGAGACAACACAAATGTTTTTACTAGCTGGGTTCCTATCAAACAGCAAACTGGGTCTGACTATTTACAGGCCTCCAGACGAAAAGCACCATAAAACATAGACTGTGTGGTAGATAAAAGTGTACAACAGCTACTGAATCAGTGATGAAATCACCAAAGTCCAGCTTGCCAGTTGACTTACATGCTAACTACTTATCAGTGGTGTCCTTCAACCTTTAGATACAACTGTAAGAATTTATTATTTTTGACCCTCTGAGCCTTAAAAAACTAAACTAAAACACTATTTTTTAGAACTAGAAGCTGTTGGAGTTTCAACTTCCCAACAGTCCTCGAAATAATCCCCCAAAATAAACTAAAAATAACTCACCGCCAGAAAGTAAAAAACATTTTTTATAAATTGCTGGATTTTCAATTTTCTAACAGTCTATAAGCTCATTTTGTCTGATGTGTAGTTCTGTGAGGAAAATAAATGAAATCTAAGCTAGACATTGTGATATTTTATCAGTATCAGTTCACACTACATGTCTTGTGCCAAAAATAAGCTGTTTGAACAAGTCAGAGTTTGTGAAAAAACCTAAATTCTCCAGTGCTTGGCGCGACCAGGAACATATTAGTAACTCAGTCCTGTGACCATTCAGCTCAACTGCAGGTTGTGTTTACACAGAACTGATATGTATGGAAGTCAGCATGTTTTCCCAGGATTAACAACACCTGTGGGCACAAGTCATGGAAGAAACAACTTTAATTTTCTTCCTGTTTTTTAGATTTATACCTCTATAATTATGACGTACTGCACATAAAACATTTCTAAATCATCTCTACTTCCAGCCATGTTTGTTCTGTTCCCATGGAGGTTTCTACTGCAGTGAGAAATGATCCCAGAGTAAGAACTGTTTAGAATTCAGAGGGCTAACATACAGACTTCATGCTCTGTTCCCACCCAACAATGTCACGGTAAAAATCTACCAAGTTTAAAGAATACTCCTTTTATAGTCTCACGTGACGGACTACAAGTGGAAATAAAAAGGCCTTGGCCTGCTGGCAACCCCATAAAAACCCAAAACATGAGCCAAGGGAGTAATTGTGATCTTCCTGGGTGGAGCTGAGGGTGAGCAGCACCAGCCGATCCTCTAATTTTACGGTTTTAATTGCACACTTCGCCCCGTGCACAACACAGAGCTGCCTGTTCAAGGCCGTGCTCCGTTTCTTGCCAATTTTCAACAGACAGGAAGTCCTGTGGCGTCTTTCTGACAGCCAAGTGCTACTTTAACACTCGGTACAACAGGCATGTAAGTTAAAAATATTTAAATTCTTCCAGCGGAGACACTGCGTTTCACAATCGCAGCCCCTGCGGTCGCATAGCAACAGGAGGACTTGTGTCTCCCGGAGCCCGAAGACGTTCACTTACGCTTTAACCATGTGGTAGTCGGAGGAGTTGAAGACGTAGCCCCCGATGACCCACATGATGCCCTGCTCCACCACGGCCTTGTGGGAAGCCCTGGCCAGCCCGGCCTCAGCGTACTCCTCCCGGGTCCAGAAGGAGGAGTTGGCAGGAACCGAGACGGAGCAGTCTGGACCTGAGGAGGGACCAAACCACAGAGTCAAGGATCCACAGGGAGAACAAATGATGCAGAGGCTTGGTTAATTCATTCTTTTTAATCGGACATGCCCTCCGAGAGAAAATGCCAACAAAATACATCAGCATTATATCAGGGGAGAAAAAAAAACATTCTAGCTACTGCAGGATTCACAGGCTCCATTAGTTTTCCTTTAAGTTCCCGCTGGGAGGCAAAGTTAACGAAAACTGGGTCCATCTGCTTTCTGTGAATTGATCGTGTAGGTGGAAACACACGGTTTCATCTCCACACATTCATATGTGTTTATCCGTTTGACGGTTAAACTTTTAACTCGTTAACAGAAAAAAAGAAATGCGAGTTTGCTAATTTTATCTGTTGTTTATGATTCATTATTGATTACATCTCTTAAATTATGAGAAGAGACGTGAAAGAAAGTGCAGAGAGGTTAAAGTTTAAGAGACTAGAGACTGTTTATGCAGGTCTGAAGCAATTATCATGAGGACATAGACAAGAAAAGCAGCCGTGAAGAGAGAAACTGAAGCCATACAGTCACTTTACTTTGTGTAACTTTGTGAACATTCTGTCAGAACTCAAATACCGTAATTTCCAGACTATAAGCTGCTACTTTTTTCACATGCTTTGAACACTGCGGCTAATTTATGGGTTTTTACGAGTTTTACGGATTTGCCTCGAGACCAAAGTGACATTGAGAGCGACAACGACAGAGAGACTGAGGAAGTGACGAAGGAATTCTGAGGCTGTTCAACTCCAACACTGAAGACTTTAGTGGTTTTAGTGCAGGAGGAAGATGAAGATAGAGATCAATGACTTTTCCTGGTAGGCTGCTGTATGATTTATTGTCTTAACCAGCCGTGTTAAAGGCACTGTTTGGAAAAAAGCATTTACGTATTTGTGTATGTTACCGCTACGTATTTAATTAAAAGTTTAAAAAATCTTTCTGTGTAACTATCTCCTGTTACAACGTGGACACCTGCAGCTTAAAGACAAGTGCGGCCTGTATATGTACACATTTGTTTTCTTTTTAAAGTTTGTGGGTGCGGCTTATATTCAGGTGCCTCAATAGTCCAAAAATTACAGTATCAAGAACTTAAACGCAGGATTTCTGGAGAACTTTACGACTTTGTCTAAGAAGGATTGATGGAAAACTCGTAGCTTTATTTGATGTTAAAGAGACTCAACCTTTCAAACATTATTTCAGATCACAACAAATATTAAGGCCAATTCAAGGTTTCTGCATCCCAGACTTTGAAAGCAGACATGCACACGGTTGTATACATACTACATGATGCTACGCAGACAGTTGCATTGTTTGTCATATCGAACACAAAAAACGACACTAGATTCTTTTGGATGTTTATGAAAGGTTGTGACTTTTTTTTTTCCTTTTTATGGGACGTAGCAGCTGCTAACAGATTGAGATGTAATCCAGTGTCAATGTGGTTATTCTGGACACAGGGTTTCTGGAGAATTGAGAAATTCTGACTATGTTTGAGCAGCATTGGCTGAAAACTTATAGCTTAATTTGATGTTAGAGAGGCTTCACTTTTCTTTCAGTGCATTTAAAGGATTAAGGAGTGAAGGCCAATGTCCAATGTAGACTTTGAAAGCTGACTGGTTGGATGTAGACGGTCGCATTGTCCCTCATATTGAACACATAAAAAGCCACAGCATTCCTGTGGATGTTTCTGACAGGAATTTGCCCTTTTTACAGGATGAAGCAGCTGGTTAGAAGTTATCCTATAACCTTGTGTCAATGTGAGTAATTCTAAGGTGGACTGAGGATGGGATTTTTGGAGAATTTAGAACTTCTGACTGTGACAGAGCAGCATCTATGGAAACCTGTAGCTTTATGTGACGTCAGAGAGACTCCATCTTTTAAACTTTCTTCCAGGACACAACAAACATGAAGAACTTAAGGCCAATTCATGGTTTTTGATTCCTGTGCCCTGACAGATATAGACTTTGAAGGCTGACCTTACTACGTATAGCTACGTAGACGGTTGCTTTGCCGTTCTTAATGACCACAGAAACGGACAAAAGATTCCCGTGAATTTGCCTTTTTTATAGGATGTAGCAGCTGGTTGGAAGTTATGCTGTAGCCTAGTGTCAATGGGATTAATTCTAGGGTGTACTGAGCACAGGGTTTCTGGAGAATTTAGAACGCCCGACTGTGTTTGAGTAGCATCGATGGAAAATGTGTAGCTTTAACTTAAAGCACCTCCAAAGTCTGGCAGGACTTCAATTACACCTCTTCTACTGGTGGATTAAAAGATGACAGACTATCTCCTTCCACAGTCTCTCCTTGTGTTTTGAGCACCACAGCGAGCTCGCAGTGTCGCAAATTCTGAGCTGCGCATGGACGTCTGTAGATGAGTTAGAATGGAAAAGTACATGGTGTGGACTTGTAGCGCATGAATTGAATCGGTGACTGTTTTTAGTGCCAGAGCTGCCTTCCCCTGTTTATTCGCAGGAACAATAACACATAACATAAACCGGAATCCCTCCTGAATGAAGGGAAAAGAGTCAGAAAAGTTATTTGGCAAAACAACTAATAAGTCAGGAATAGGAAGATTGACCTTTTCCTGTCAACATTTTGGACGGCCGAGGCTACGGAGGGGTTTCGGGGACGTTGTCGATCCCGTCCTTGCTACCTGATGAAATAAATCCTTCCAGGAATAAAACATTTAGCGACTAATTAGAGCTGTCACTCCGCCGCGCAGCAGAAACAGGGTGTTAACCACCAGGGAAGTCTTATTGATCATTATCAAAACAATGCACAAGTGGCCATGTGCCAGGGAAGGAAGTGTTGTGATTCGCTCCAACAATCAAGGTCACTACGTTTTTGTTTTGTTCAAATCCCTGGTGGCTAATATTCGTCAACCTGACTCCAGTAATGCTAAAATAATGAAAAGCACCTTTGCAACTTCCATAAATAAAAAAAAGAAAAAGAAAAAAAACACACAAGCTCTGCCTTTCTTTAAAAGACAGATTAAATGCAAGGGTGGCTTAACTAAACAGGCATCCGTCTCTGCTTTTTGCACCGGCTGATGTACGAAAATGAGTTCATTTAAAAGCTGGCAGCGCAGAGTACACGGAGAGCGCTATTCCTCTGCTAAAACACCATGACAGGGTAATAAAGGCTAAAGAAAACGCCAGTCTGTTTCTCAACTCCCTTAGCTTTTGTAATTAGATCGTGAGCACACTGAGCTGCTGATATAACTGCAGTTAAATTAAGCCGTTGTCTCTGCTTTGCCGGAGCAGCGCAGTGGAGCCGTTTAAGAACTAATAGAGCGCTTAAAACGCCCATATGGTCTGATTCAAAAAAAAAAAAAAAAGGATACAGTGGTGTCAGGACATCGCCGAATAAAAAGGACTCAATAGTCATGACTCAACCGAAAACGATGAGGAAGCTGATCCCGCGAAAAGTTCATTGGAAACAGCAGATGGATGTTGTGGGGGCAGCGAAAGCCTCAATAATAGTGGTGCAGGCTTAAAGCTGAAGAGGCACTGGTCTGAATCACCAGATAAACAGGCAAAATCTGGACGGATAAAAGATAACTCTCTTTTACTAAACCTCCAACTGCTTCACTGGAGCTGCTTAGCGCTCAGCTGCACTGGATGTTTACCGGATTTTCTTTTCATTTATTCCTGGGTTTGTTTTTTAAGAAAAAAAAAGAAGAAAATTTGCTGCAAAAGTTTTTTTTAAAGTCAGAATTCATGAAGCACCAACGCTGAAAAGTGAAACCCAAAGGTGGCGGTTTATACTTGCTTTAAATTCCATTTAAGAAAAAAAGCAAAAGCAGCTTCTTGGTAAATATATTTTTGCTCTGTGACCCGGAGTAAACCGAGCACAGCTTCATGTTCGGCGAGTGGAGAAGGTTTTCTCAGTGACGAACGGTTTCACAGCATTTTTCTAAACACACATTTTGTTCTTTTATACTGACGTTGCTCAGAAACACTGCTGAAAGGTGGTGGTTTTCCTTCTCTAAATATATCTCCTTTATTGCACGAGCGTCGTTCTGCAGCGGTTTCTAAAAACGTGACACTCCGGAGCACTTAATCACACTTGACTGGCATTTTGCTTGGCTTTTATTCTTTCCACAAATCAAGGCACAGATGTGTCGGGCGATTGAGAGGTTTGGAAACGGGCTCGGTATAAACGATGTGAGGAGTTTCGCTGCTCTCGGGTTTAATCGTTTTACACTGCGGACAGACACGAAGGCTTCGGCAGAGGTGTTGGATCTGGTTTCTTTACAACTAAAAGCACCCGACTGAAATAAAATAGGCAGAGGGCACGATTTAGTATCAATATTATTCATTTTGGCTGGAAAAAGTACATTTATGAGCCTCCCACTGCTCAGACAAACCCGGCAGGCTGCTTGTTTTAGTCTCCGTAGAGAGTTTGGCGTGTTGAGGCCCGCTGAAGCCAGCTTGGTGTCACTGGGGTCTTTTTTTTCCTGCAAGTGCACTGAATGTGAAAACGATATGAATGTCACGCTAGCTGCAGGCCCACCTTGCCACCCGGCCTTGCAGACGCAGGCCTTGCCCCGGCAGCTGCCTCTGTCGGGGGCGCCGCAGTCGGCCAGGCAGTACGGCATGTCGCAGGCTTCCCCCTTCCAGTAGGTTTCGCACTCGCAGTACACCGAAGCCGTGGAGTTTCCTACGCGACACTCGCCTCGGCCCGAGCAGTTGTTGGGACACGTGTTGACCCTGCAGGAAGGACGAACAGAAAGGGGGAAAAGTCAGAGCTGCATAAAACAAAGAGCTAAAATCAGCAACATTCCTCCTTCATGAGTCGGTCAAACACCTGCTTCAGCTGACGTCTGACAATCAATTAATCAATCGGACTGTATTTGTGCAGCATTTTTAAAGCAAAATAGTATTTTACAGAACAAAAGGTAACCGAAAAACTAAAGTAACAATAAAAAGTGGGACTGAGGAAATGCCGTGATAAAAATAAACGCAATAACGAAACACCAGAGGCCCGAAAATAATAAAAATTAGTAAGTAAGATGGCAAACATCCCATTTGTGAATCTATAACTGCCATAATAAGGGAAAAAATATATATAACTGTGTCCAGATATATATTTTAAATTCCCAAATCCGATAAAACAACTTTAACTGAAAATATTAATAAATACAAAAATATTACAAAACAAATACGCACAAAGAAAATCACTTACAGCACCAGGACTAATTTAACTTGTAAGTAATAGCAGACGAGTTAAAAGAAAACACTTGAAGAAATACCGTAGGTGAGCAAAAAATATAGAAAATTATAAGAATTTAAAAAATGTAAAAATAAAAATAAAAAAACAAGCATGAAGATTCAAAGTGAAATGTTAAAAGACAGATAAATACACACAAGCAATAATAATTAATACAACATCAACATTTTCTGTTGCTCAAATTGTTCAGGAGACAATATTAGGAACACAATGGGTTTTTATTCTGACTTTGGTTGTGAATGAAAGAAGAACTATCAGACTCAAGGGTTCTACGAAAGCAATAGTTAAGAATTAGAACAATAAAACGATCTAAAAATCTGCTCTAAAGCGGAACGTATCCAGTCCAGAGACTTTAAACCCGGCGCTTTCATTCTGGTCGAAGTCGACGCTCAAACTGCAGAGTTCTGGAGCAGTTCTACGTGAGATATGTTCTTGTTGTGGAGACCAGAGAGCAGAACATTAACAGCAGCTGATGAAAGTGAGCAGCAGCAAACTTCTGGAAATGATCAAATGTAGTAGAGAAAATTTAAACATGTGTCCTGTTCAGCATGACTCAGTTAAAATGCTATAAATCATAAAAAATGAAGAAAAAATAAATAAAGTTGAATGTCTCAGATAATTTATTTTACAAACATTAAAAAATAAATAAATAAAAAAACAGGAATCAACATGTACAACATTTTTTTGTGTGTTACTGCTACTGGAATAAATGTGACCTTAAACATTACAGATATTTTACTATTCACATTTTTTATTTGTTTCTGAACTTGTCCACTATAAATGCTGCCTGAATTTTTGTCCCGTCACCGTCGGTCGTAAATAATTCAATCACAGCTTCGTGGTTCCAAAGAGAAGTTTTGTTTGTTTTTAGTAGAAGTGGTTTATTTTTTTAAATGAGTGATTTTGATTAAATATCACGATTTTAAGTTTAATTTGGTTAATTCTTCCAGTAATTTTTTATTTTTTTTTTTAAAAGTTCAAGGACTGTCTGACAGATGAAACTCTGTTGATTCTTTCTGTTTTATAGTTCCCGGCTCTGATGAACGATATCATTTTGGCTGTTTAAAAAAAAGAAGAAGACGATATTATTCCTTTTAAACCCACCAGCCGGTTCTGAGGTTCAGAGGGTTAGTGCTGCAGTTTTAATCGACTTTTTTTTTCCTCAGAGTCTCGGCACCAAAGATCAAGGCTTCGGTTTGTCCTGTGGAAGGTTCTCTATCAGATATCTAAATTACAGTTAAAAGGCATCGACTAGCCCCAGGTCATCAGGAGGCATCTCAGAAACCAGCAGACGCTGAAGAGGAGACGGAAACCTGTAATATCAGCCACGTCCATGTTCAACAGAACATTTAGCTTTTCTGTTCACGTCTGTGCCGATAATTAAACCCTCCAAAGTCAAAGTTTGCAGCATTGGTGCAGCAACAGACTCCAAAATAATACTGGATTGTTCCACCTCAAATCACCAGGGTTCTTCTGCTCGATCGTCTCGGATTTGCTTGAAACTTTTTTATTATAAACTATAAATATTTAAAATGGTATCTGGGAAATTTTAGCTCGATATATCAAATCCTTGCTGAGATTTTTTTTTGTTCTTTTATTGCACCGCCAGCCCACGTTCAGCACCATTTTCACACTGAAATTTGTACTAATGAAGATAAAAGCCTGAAGTTTTCACTGTTATTTCTCATCATGTCCTTGATTCAGAATCTACAAAATTGGAAAAGTGAGTCAAATATGAAAAAAGATGAAGCTATTGTGAAAAGTGTCATCTTTGAGCACAAAAAGTCAACTATGATATTTTCTGAACCATATGGAGCCTCATGTCGCAATAATACAAAACAAAACATATAGAATAAGTTTTAATAAGAAATACTCGGTGACAAAAATGAAAAAAAAAGTCATTTATCTTTAATATTTTCTGAGATATTGATGCATAAACAATACGAAGGGGGGAAAAAAAAACAGCTGAAAGTGCGTCAAGAGGATTTTTTTTCCCCCCAAATATCTCACAAACTATTTGACATTTTCACCCAGAATTTCACAGATATCTTGATAAATATTCATATTTTATGCTGTAAAAGTTTCAGTCAGCTGTTGTGACTGATTGTGGGCACTCCTGAGTGGAGGCTGGTGAGTTAACGGACATGTTTGCGCCTATATGGAGATGTCACAACGTCCACTTCCTGATAAATATTTTGAATGCATTTCCAAACTGTCCTCGAACATGAAGCGCACAAGAAACAAGAAAAAAAAAAAAAGAAAAAGCCAAGCGATCTTAACGGTTCTCTAAAAATAACAACGTATGGGAGCGAATAGAGGAAGCTCAAACAGAACCCGACATCACCTCCGGCTCCGTCTCGCTGTTGGAGAAAAATGACCCTGATGTTGTTTCCGAGTGTCGACGACTCGATGTCAAAAGTTTGTGTCTGTAAACTAAGAAAACAACACATTATTATCCATCAAAGCGAGAAGTGAGACGTTTCGCTTCTTTGCCGGCGAATACAAACGAGACGGAGAGACACAAAGGGCCCCCTCGTCCTTCTTTCATGTTCCTTCGCCGTCTGACGGTTTGATGTTGCGGCTCCTCCACCTCTCCCAGACACCAAAGACCAGGGGGGCCCCGGGGCACTTCGCTTTCATCCGACTCGCTGCTTCCCCGGCCCGGCTTCAAGCTCATCGCTATGGCGACGGTGCCAGCATACAAGGGGCAAAAAAAAAAAAAAAAGCAAGGGGGTCCATTGTGCCCTTTGCAGATGTTTACAAGGGACAGACTTTCCCGGCAGCTCGGAGGAAACAAAAGGACTTTTTTTGGAGGGGGGGGCCCTCTTTCACACTTGGGAAGTTTTTAATCGAGCCATCTGCGTCTTCAACTTTTATTTTTTGTATTATCCTGAGAAGATGTTTGTCGTCTAGACGCACGGATTAACACGTTTCCTGCTCTGACAAATCCATGAGCAAGCACAACATAAGAGGATAAAGGTTTTTTTTGCGAGGAAGTCGTCACTCGAGCAGGTTGGACGACCTCGGATGAACCCGAAGGACTCATAAATATGTATACGTGTGAATGCGAGTGTGGTGAAAGGGGTCAATGGGAAGGTCGTCAATTATCTAATTGTGCCACAGCGGGCGCTTTGTGATTTCAAGCTGCAAAAATCAATAAACTGGGGTTTGGTGTAATTTCTTTTGCTTTCATCAAATTGCGTCCTCTGCTCTGGTTTACAGCGCGCTACAGTATCGACGCCGGGTGTCAGCGCTTGCTAGTTTACCTCGAGTGACCCAGACGAAGCATGCACGGTGCAGCGTCGGTACCAGAATACCAACGTTTAACGCACAAATATTTGCACACAGAGTCGGGAGCAGATTGCGGTGCAAAGTGCAGCCTCATTACGGTACACAGCTACAACCGGAGCAGGACAGGTGTTTGTTTGAAGGGGTCAGAATGGGAGTAGAAACAGGGTCCATGTCTGCAGGGGAGGTATACAAACGGTGTCGTCTAGAGGCAGCAGTGGTTCCATTTCTGGACAAATGCTGCAGGTGAAATTCCTCAATAAACTGAAAATCTAAAGTCCATTCAGCGCCACTGTTTCTGAGTCAGGTGTCTTAAAATTATAGTCATTATTGCATGTTGTTGTGAGTTTTTTGATAATTCGGAAAAGTGCAGCATTTAACATTAATTTGAAGGAAAAAGAAGCTCGTTAAAGTTCAAACCAATTCTTACATTTATATTTCACTAGGATAATGTGCATTTTTTTATATTTTATATCTATGATTTCTACTTATGCTGTTATTTTTAGAGCATATCTTTCTACTTGTATTTATAGTAGCCTTGGAGACAGTTTTCAAGATTTCAAAAAATAACTAAAAATCTATTTTACAACTTTAATATGTGGCCGCTGTTCTCTCCAGACGTGTATTTTCCAGAAATATCTCCATTTCTGAACAGAGATGTTGCAGCTGAATCTTCTGAATGTCTATTATTTATTTATTTATTTATATATATTTTTAACTAAAAAACTAAACTCATTCACATCCACTGTTTTGGATGTAATTTCAGATCCATCCATCCATCATCTATACACCGCTTCATCCTCACTAGGGTCATGGGGGGCTGGAGTCTATCCCAGCCAACTTGGGGCTGGACAGGTCACCAGTCTATCACAGGGCTACACTTAGAGACAGACAACCAAGCACACTCACATTTACACCTACGGACAATTTAGAATCACCAATTAACCTCAACATGTTTCTGGACTGTGTGGGAGGAAGCCGGAGAACCC